GGGAGCAGGGGAATGCATACAGGGGAGCAGGGGAATGCATACAGGGGAGCAGGGAGGGAAAGGGCTAGACGACAGCTTGAAGTCGGAAGAGATAGGACTCGGAATGCCACGTCAGTGATGGAAGGGGTTTGTGCAGGGGAGGACAAGATTAAAGCTAAAATAGTTTCCCCTTATCCACAGCTTTGCTTTCTGTGGTTTCAGTTACCTGAGGGCTAAAAATACTAAATGAAAAATTCCAGAAATAAACAATTCATAACGTTGAAATTGTGCACCGTTGTGAGTGGTGTGATGAAATCTCATGCCCATCCTGCTCGTTCCATCTGGGACAAGTGCTGTCCGTCTGTCCAGCGTTACCAGCTGCCGCTGTACTACAGTGGTTGTGTCCTGGCAACCCTTTTTTTTTTTTTTGCCGGGGCTGGGTTTGAACCTGCCACCTCTGGCATATGGGGCCTGCACCCTACTCCTTTGAGCCACAGGTGACGCCCAACCCTTGTGTTATTTGATAACAGCCCCAGAGCATAGGAGCGATGACACTGACAATTCAGATACCCTAAACAGATGCCAGAAAGCACTCTCCTTTAAGCGAGAATGTGAAAGTTCTCAGCTTACTTAGAAAAAATATCATATGCTGAGGTTGCTAATGTAACGGGAAAAACAAATCTTCCACCCTTGAAATTGTGAACAGTACTTTGTTATAATCGTTCCATTTTTTATTAGCTATTGTTAATGTCTTACTGAGCCTCACTTATAAATTAAATTTCCTTGTATGTATAGGAAAGTATGTGTATGTATGCAGGGTTAGGTAACCATCTGCACTTTCAGGGGTCCACTGGAGTTCTTAGAATGTATAACTCACGGATGAGAGGGGACTGCTGTGTGTCTATTACCAAGACTAATCCCACCAACCAAGGTGTAGAAATAAGAATTGGAAAAAGGACTGAATGTCAGCAATAAGGGTAAATATAATTATAATAGGATAATTATAGCAGATACTTTTATTTTTAAATTTTTAGTAGTGCATATTATGTTCTAAATGCTTCACATAAATTTATTCCTTAGAGTGATCTGGTTAATTAAGAATTGTCCATATTTAACAGAGAAGGAAACTGTGGCTCAGAAAGATTCTGGGACCTGCCCAATATTTCAAAGCTTATAATAAAAAGTGGCGCAAGTATTAAATCCATCTCTGTACTACCTTGCTTCCTTATCTGGACATAAACTAAGAAACCTATTTCAAATGAAGCCCTGGGTTCTTTGAAAAATGTGCCAGCAGGTAGGCAGCCTCTAAGACAGTCCTCAGTGGTCTCACATCCTGGTGTTTAAGCCCTTCTGTAATCACCTCCCTGCAGAGTGGGCTGGACTCACCGGTTTGCTTCTAATCAGCAGGACACAGAAGGGATGGCATGTCACTCCAAGGGCTTCCCTCTGGAGCACTCTGTAGAGCTCTCTCTCTCTCTCTCTCTCTCTCTCTCTCATCACTGTCCCTGGGGAGGCCAGCTGCCATGTTGTGAGGCACCTATGGAGAGGTCCTCGTGGACAGAACCCCGCCAGCAGCCACATGCATGAGTGTGGAAGCAGGTCCTCCCAACAGAGCCATCCAGCCTTGAGATGGGGCTGCAGACCCAGCAACACAGCTGCAAGCTCAACAGACAGGCTGAGCCAGAGGCTCCCAAACTAAGCCAGGACTAGACTCCTGACCCACAGAAATGAAGAGATACTAAATGTTTATTGATTTAAGCTGCTATGTCTTAGCGTAATTTTTTACCCAGCACTAATACAACCATTAGAGAGCAATTATTTAATCTTTGCCTTTATACTCGGAGCTAGGAGAAGGGAGACTGTCTAGGAGAGATTATACCTTAAACACATGACAGGCAGCCAGCCAGATAACAGATGATGGCACCTTTAACCTTTCTACCCAAACACATGCATGCCAGATAATCCACACATATCATTCTCCCACGGCTCCTCTGATTGTCCTTGTTCTCTTTTTCTTGAATACAGTCTTAAGACTACGAATTCTAAAACCCAAGTTTTGAGGCTTGAAAAACAGTTTTCGACTCCTAGTCTTGGACTTCATAGCAAACTCTTCCCTCTCCACAGCTCCCACGTGCAGCACCTGTTCCTCTCACGGTGGCCCGTCCTTTCCCACCTGCAGGTCTTACGGGCTGTTTTCCAGGCACCTCCCCCAGCCCTCACCCGAACCTCGTCTTACATGCTCAGTACCTACTTAGTGCTTCACATACAGATGCAACTCAGTAAAGTTTGAGCCAGTGAGTGAATAAATGTGCCCACAATCAATGAATGAATGAGTGAGTCGACGGGCAAGAGTCAGAGGACGTGGGAAATGCCGCTTGAATGCTTCAGCCTTGCGCAAAGCTGGACTCTCCTAGAGCCACTCCCTTCTCTACAGAAGGCTCACAGGTGCCCCATCCTCACCCCTCGCTCCCCACCAGGCTCATCCCTCTTTAACTCCCTCCTCCAGCAGCTGCCCACGTGCACCCCAGCCTGTCCATGTGCCCGCTGGGCCACCCTCCCCTTCCACTGTGAAGTCTTTCTTCATGCTCCTCCAGCCCGCTGGGCACAGCTTGGTTGCTGCACTCAGCACCTCACAGCGTTACCCGTGCGTCATTTCCACATGACTATACGCCCCCTGAAGGACAGTGTGTCCAGCCATCAGTAGAGGGTCTGGAAGGGGCAGGTCCTCCAAGCCCGTTTGAAGCAATAGGCGAAGATGGAATGAGTGAGGACAAGAAAGAGCCACTCTGGGAAATCATCTCGGCAGAATGGGATTGCTCGTTTCAGATGTCAGTCACACACATACCCCGCTCCAGACCCTAAACACAGTAGAAGCAGCATAACTGTGCATCCAAGTTGTTTTGCTAATACATACACACTATATTTAGAAATAGCGCTTCAGCGCATGGATGGGCCCCGGGCAGAGTTGTCTTTAACACAATTTTTTTCTCTTTCTCTCACATCCCTAAGCCTGTTCCAGTTAAAAAAAAATATATATATATTCGGCTTGGCGCTTGTGGCTCAAGTGGCTAAGGCGCCAGCCACATACACCTAAGGTGGCAGGTTCTGATCCAGCCTGGCCTGCCAAAACAACAATGATGGCTGCAACCAAAAAATAGCCAGGTGTTGTGGTGGGCGTCTGTAGTCCCAGCTACTTGGGAGGCTGAGGCAGGAGACTCGCTTGAGCCCGGGACTTAGAGGTTGCTGTGAGCTGTGGTGCCACGGCACTCTACCCAGGGGGACAGCTTGAGGCTCTATCTCAAAAATAAATAAATAAATAAATAAATTTTTTTCGCCCTCCTCAGCCTAAGATCCCCATTGCTGTCCCCAGAGGTCACACACATATCTGCCTCCCAGAGGTCACTCACTAATTTTCTCACCACAAAATGTTTCTCTGTCTCATGCCTTAGAGTTTTGAGTCACAACTGAGTAAGCTAAACAAATAACCTGATCATGGGGACATGTGTGCTCAGGGCTGGCACTCCCATTTTGACAGGGATCTTTTTCTAAGGAATCATTTGACTGAGAGCTCAGTGGAGAAAGATTGCACCCACTAGGACCTTTCTGAAGCTCTCAAGCCGCTCTGCGATCCCGCGGTCCCGCAGTCCCGAGCTCCCTGCGGCGCTAGCGAGGCAGTTTAGCTTGGTGGTTGGGACAGCTCCCCCAGTTAGAAACTTCTTCTGTTTTCCAGTTGCCTGATCTTGGGAACCTCACTGATGCCCAAGTGTTCTGCCTGTGAAATGAAATGATAATCATTCTGACCTCAAGGAATTTCTGGGAGGATTAAACGGGCTAATGCAAGTAGAGTACTCAGAAAATGCCCAGTAAGGATTAAGTTGTCAATAATTGTCTGCTGTTACTATCATTGTTTTTATTGTTATTAGAACCGGCTCTGATGGGCCTGGAGACTGGTTTCCCAGAGGTGGGGGGAGGGCACTTACTGATCTGGTTGTCCAGCTTGAACGCAATGTCCAGCTGCAGGATGAACAGCATGAACTGGAACCAGGGGCTCATCTCCATGGAGGGCAGGGGGATGTGGACGGAGAACACGATGTCGTTGGCCTCGATCTCCCTCGGAATTGCCTCGTCAATGTCCCGGATCTTGTCACACTGATCAGGTCCCCAAGGCATTAACCACTTGGTCTTGTGATGGTTCTTACGGACATCCACACATTTCACGGACATGTAGGACACAGCCGTCGTGGGCCCTGGGGCTGAAAAGAGAACGTCCATCTGTTTCAGAAAAACCATCTGCTGAAGTGACCATTATGGGTTCAGGCTCTTTCTATGCCCACCACCCTCCAGTTTCTGCAATGCCTTCTGCGATGGGGGATCAGAGACACCTAAGGGTCCCCAAATCCAGACGGGGATCAGAGACACCTAAGGGTCCCCAAATCCAGGCGGGGCCCCTTCAGTGGCCTCCGGAGGTGTCAGCAGAGCAGAGACCCTTCCCATTGTGTCTCAACCCGTGTATTTACAGAACACAGCTGCACTCCGTCCAGTTCAGTTGCCTTCTTGCCCCCAAGCAATCCCACAGGAATCTTGAGCTCTGCCAGTCAGTGTCCCCACCTGCCTGAGGCTTGGGGGCTTCGCAGGGCAGTGTCTGAGGAAGGAGGCTGGGTCTGAAGACCTCATCAGAGGAACAAGGTGAGCGGTTCCTAAGACTCCTCTTAGCTCTAAAGTGATACAAGACATCTTGAGGTGGGGAGAGAGAACTATGGGCCCAGGGCGATTTGTGCCTCTCGGAGGCTGGACATCGAGCCCAGATGGACACCCTGAAGAGGTGCTAAAGGATCAACCAGGCGCTTCAAGACTGCAAACAAATCTGAAATATATAACTTTAAAAAGCTCTATTCTGTGATTGTGTAATGGTCACATGAGTGTAAGTAACAGAAAATGTGGAAAATACTGAAACTTTAAATTCAAAACATTTACCCCAGATTCCACTAGAGCAGTGGTTCTCAACCTTCCTAATGCCGCAGCCCTTTAATCCAGTTCCCGTGGGTAGCGACCCACAGGTTGAGAACTGCTGCACTGGAGGGAAGTGACCACTGTTGGGAAAATACCAAATTACTATCTGTCTTTCCTATGAGTATAGAATTAGATCAAAGTTTATACACAAACTGTGCAACTTTAAAACACATACACGTTAACATGTCTATTCACACAAGAGAGTCGTATGACACATGTACACATGTCTTTGCTCTCATTCATAGAAGCAAAGTTGTATGTGATTAAGCACACGGGCTCCAGAGCCAGCCTGTCTGGTGTCAAATCCTGGCTCTCCCATTTCTAGTCCTGTTATTGCTAATCCGTGCTTAGAAAGTTTGGGGGGAATCACTAAGCCTCTCTTAAATTAGCTTCATCATCTCCTAAATGGTAATATTAATAGTACCTGTCTCCTTGAGTCATTGTATATTAAATAAATTAACATATAAAAAGCACTCAGAACAGTGCTTGAGCACACAAAAGTATGACATACCAGCTATTGTAAGTATTTTCTTGATGATTAAACTTTTTCAATTAGTGATTGCAGAATAGTCAAGTACACCGTATACCAAAATTAACTACCCCTCCATCAGTTTGCAAAGGCAACCTATACATAAGTGTAATTCCTTGCCTAATTTTTTTTGTTGGAAATTCCTCCTAACTTTTCCATCTGCCATCTAAATTTGTTTATGGCACATTTAAAAATAGAAAAGTTCCAGATCTTATTTAGAAACTCTCTTTTCCTTTATATTTTTTCCTCATGATTTTGTGCTTAGAGAGACATGACTTCCTTTATCTCCAAATTCAATAAACAGTCACTTGTATACTTATTGACGTATAGTTATTTGTTCCAATTTTATTTTTTTCTAATATTTAAGTAGTTGATCCGTCTGGAATCTGTTACAACAGATGAGGTGAGACTGTAGTTTTACTTTTCTTAAATATTTAAATTATCCTTTACTGAACAGACCCTCCCTTCTGGCTGATTAATGACATCACATTGCCTCCTGTACACAGTGTGTGTTTTTGAATAATCTGCTCCTTTTCAAGTAAACAACTGTCAATTCATGGGTTAGTACAACTGTTTTTGGATCCTACGAGTTGTTGGTTTTTATCAATGTCTGTTAGAGTAACTCTCCTCCCCGATCCATTCTGAATTTCTCCCTTTTTGCTGGGATTTTGACTGAGATTACATTATATCTATAAATTGATCTGGACAGAATCACCACCCTTCCCCAACATTCAGCTTTTCCCACCAAGGAGAGACAGCCCTTGACTCGCCATGGTCTGGAGTCTGTTTTCAGATTTCTTTGAAAACTCTCACTATTTTATTTGTGTGAGCCCTGCCAGTACAGCATGTTTTAAAACTTACCCATAAATCTTCTCTTTGAAAGTCAGTAGTCAAAGGAAAACATTATACATGATGGTTTGTGTGTGTGGCTCACATGTGTTTGCTCCCATGACTCTGGTACTTGGCACACTATGTCTACAGATCTTTTCAGAGCAGAAATTATCTCTTATTTACCAGTGAGCACACAGAGACTGGAGGAACCCATGAAGCAAAAGGAACGTCACCTAGGAGGCAGAAAATGTGTATTTTTAATATTCTGCCTTACTTTTTAATGCTCAAATCCACATTTTTTTGCATCCCTAAAGCTCTATCCTAATGGTAAACTTTGAGTAGTAAAATGTTGTGTTTGCAGAAAGCGGGGACAATGCCTACTAAAACTTAACAGGAAACTCACCATCACTAAACTCCAGCTGGAAGTTCCTCGATGTAGGACCCTGAGTATACGTAACACAGAGTCACTGCCAACTTGGGCCAGGGAAGTTTTTCTTTAAAACTCAAAACTGTATCACAAGGACTTTTTACATCTAGTCTACCTAAAATCAGACATCGGATTATTGTTAGAAATATGAGTCAGTCAAACTTGGGTTCTCCTGACTCAGCTCACTCGCCCACTGGCGTCAGAGAGGCCAAGTGGCAACATTCAACCTGCCCCTTTTTTAATGTGGTTGGAGAAATAAACAGTGAGAAGTCATGAGTTCTATTTTTGGCTAAAATACTCAAACTATTTGCTGCAGAAAATAGTTTTATATTTTAAGAACTTCTATTCTTCTGAAAGGAACCTAAGCTTTTTTCTTTTTTTCCTTCTTCTGAAAAACAAGTTTCTCACTCCTCAGACCAAACTGAGAAATAACTTGCCGAGTTCCTCTGCTAAGCTCCAAAACCACATTCCAAACTTAATAACAGGGAAGCAGAGCACTTCAGGGGCACAAAGGCTGCATTTTCAATGGCTGCAGTGGACTCCAGCCTTCTTAGCGGCCTGCATTGTTTTCATTCTTTCATTAGTCTAGTGTTTCTTCCATAAAGAAAAAAAAAAAGGCCCAGGAATACTAATACTTTCATAAAGATCACGGCAGTGAACTTGGAGAAACATCAAGTGCATCTTAAAGCAATACCAGGAGAATCACACACATTTTTCTTCACTTGAATAAATTAGTCCTCTAGCCTCAAAAACATTTAGCATAACTTAAAAACCTGAAGATAATTCAACATTTTCCTTTTTTCTAGAGTGCTCAAAAGGGAAAACATGTATTGTCTGAGAAAGTAAACAGACATCCCGACATTTAAACACGACAGCTAATGCCCCCCAATAAACTCTTTACAGCCAGGACAACGTCCTGCTCCAGCTAAAAGTGAATACCTGGCTGCTTCTTTATCTAGGAAGCATCTTAAGTATAAACTAAAAGCAAAGCTTATAGCTTGAGCTGGTTGCCTACCATAGAAGGTGTTTTCATTGGTAGCAGCCAAAACTGGGGCTATCCGGATCACAAAATAGTGTCTAAATCAAAAGAAGTTTGATCTGTCCTTAAATTTAAAAAAAAAAAAGTGTGTGGGCAGCACCTGTGACTCAGTGGGTAGGGCACCGGTCCCATATACCGAGGGTGGCGGATTCAAACCCGGCCCTGGCCAAACTGCAACAAAAAATAGACGGGCCTTGTGGCGGGCGCCTGTGGTCCCAGCTACTCGGTAGGTAGGCTGAGGCAAGAGAATCACCTAAGCCCAAGAGCTGGAGGTTGCTGTGAACTGTGATGCCATGGCACTCTACCCAGCACAACAGAGTGAGACTCTGTCTCTTAAAAAAAAAAGTGTGAGAGGTTTTGTTGTAAAAGAAAAGGTGTAAATGGAGGAAGTTAAATTGTCTGCAACCTTTGACCAAGCCACAGTCAACTTAACAGGCGTTTGTAATGAAGATCTTAATTAGTCACTAGCATGGCTCTAGGGATTAATAGAGTTTGTGTATTTAAGAAAGGACCAGATGAATTCAGGTCAACAAACTGACTCATGTTTGCTCAGGTGAAAGCTAAAAATAACGATTCCTCAGTATTCCGAGGACAGTAATGCAATATCTCACAGCCGCCTCAGCACACAGAAATGTCCCCTCTGCCCATCCGTAGCACACATTCCACTGAGAACAAGTAACCCTAATCTTCCATGTCAGTACAGCTTTAGGAGACAGAGTAATTTGGCCCAAACCAAATATGCCCAGTCCCTGTGGATTGGTCAACTTATGGTGGGTTAAGACAAGATTGAAAACATGCACAGAAGTTACAAAACCATGAGCTCCCAGTTAAAAACACGGGCCCATTTTGAGTTCACTTCCCTTTGCTATGGTCCATTTCTTCCTTCCCTGCCTGGGTTCCAACACGGTATTTTTTGCCTCCACTTTTTCACTACAGTCTGTGACTGCACAGCATTTAATTCCAAAGTAACATCAAATCAATAGAACTTCTAACAACGCACAAATACAACTGGAAGCCTCCTTGAAACTCAGGGATCCCTCCATGATACACGGTTCTGCCTGTCCCCAAACACGCCCTGAGCACCCACCGCGAGGGGCAGGAGTGACCGGCGGTGTGGGATGTCCAGCTAATGGAGCAAGCACGCGATATATAAATAACTGCAGGAGAAATGAATTGTAACTGTGGAGAAGGCTACATTTTACCCAACATTACCTGAGAAAAAGGCAAGAGTTAGATATTTGAGTCAAAGAAATTAATACACTGTAAGACAAAGTTCCGGCCATCGTTACAAAGCAGCTTTGAACACAGCGCGAGTGAAGTGACTAACCCCGCCGAGTTTCTTAATATTGACTCCAGTCAGCTTCCTGCTATCTCATTTCAAAAGTCTATCCAGTCTACAAATTACCATCTAGCCAAC